CTTTCCCTCCGTCCCTTCTTCCCTCTTTCTTCCTCCCCAGCCCTCCCTCTCTTTTTCCCTACTTCCCTCTCTCCCCTTCTCTCATCTTCCAAATTCTTGATTTCCTTGTCTCCTATGAAACTTCCAAGCTGTCTCTCCCACTTAATAACCTAGCTCCTTAAGATGCCATTCTTATTCTTCTGCTTTTTTTTTTTTTTTTTTTTTTTTTTTTTGCTCTTCACTTAGTGCTTTGGAAGTAAGGAAAATGGTGGTGGGTCATTTTTCAAGACATTAGTTTCTCATCAAAATTCCTATAATTCCTAAGTGATTCCTCTGCCACCAACTTGGCCCCCACACCTCTGCCAGAAAGATCTTTCTAAAATATGAATATATCACTCTATTACTATACTAGGAGTCCTTTGAAATAACTCCTGAAGGTGTACAGGATGCTGTCACCTTAATTAGCTCAACCCACAATCCATCACCTCACTTCTAGCTATCCCAAAATACCCCCCAACATGTCATGCAGGGTTTCACACTGGGTGTCTTTGCACACACAGATCCCTCTGTATCTGGTCATTTCCTAACCATCCCTAAAATTTCACCTTGAACCACCCTCTTCCAGGAAGGAAGTTTTCCCTTACCCATGCGATTTAGTTACCTCTATCCATTCCATGTGTCACAACAAATTTTATATGGAATTATAAGTAGTAGATTTATTTGTCTGTCCTCTACTCTATACGACTCTAAGCAAGACAGCAGCATAAGCAATAAGGTAGGCGCCCAGGATGGGGAGGTTCTGTCACATATCATTAAGGAGTAGAAACTTCAGTCTCATCACATACCAACTGTATGCAATGTGCCCAGTCGTCATATCATCGACCTTTCTGATAATTCAATTTCATCATTTGTAAAGTTGAAAAAGCCTGGCTCATAGAAAGTGCATAAGAAATATTATGGTACTTTTGAGTATCTATATCAGTCTATTTTTATATCTGTAGCTATACCTACATCTATATCTATGTATCTGCTTAGGGTAGAGCAGAATCTAAATCCCATCGTCATTCTTCATGTAGTTGTGTCTATAGGCTCTTTCCTTGGATAGGGTTGTATTCTTTCAGCAACATGATCTACATGCCTGTTGTGGATAAATTTATCAAATACTCTTAAAAGTAAATATGTTCAGGGGCGCCTGGGTGGCTCAGTCGGTTAAGCAGCCGACTTCGGCTCAGGTCATGATCTCGCGGTCTGTGAGTTCAAGCCCCGCGTCGGGCTCTGGGCTGACAGCTCAGAGCCTAGAGCCTGTTTCAGATTCTGTGTCTCCCTCTCTCTGACCCTCCCCCGTTCGTGCTCTGTCTCTCTCTGTCTCAAAAATAAATCAACGTTAAAAAAATTTTTTTTAAAAAGTGAATATGTTCAGTAGGTATATAAAATGTTACATATTTGAAAGAGACCAAAGCCAATCTTCTAATTTTATTCAACCAGGACATAGCAGTGGAGTCTTACTGTTTATTTATGACCAGAGTGGCTGTACATTTCAGTTTTCTTGGGATGGTCTCAGTCTATGCCTCCCATCCTGGCACAATTATTAATAGTGCCTCATTTCATTCTCAAAAGTGTCCTCATTTGGGTTCTTTTGGACAATTAATTATATGGCCACTTTATTTGTGGCCTATGATCATTCTCATGGACCGTAGTATTTTTTCTGATTAGCCAGTGCCCATGCCATACCAGTTTTTAAATATTTTTAATATCAGATATACCTATAAGGTAATAAAAGCACAGAAAGGTGACATGATTTCTCCTTCTACAAACTGAGTTAAATGCATATACACTAAGAACTTAGAATAAGAAAAGTGAGAACAAGACAGGAAAGAGCCTGATTCACCCTCAAAGGACTGACCTGAAAAAGTACGGAAACCTGGTTATTTCTGAGTCCCACTTGTGAGGTTTTCCTCAGTTCTACCCTCTCCAATCCCTCTCTCCCACCTGGCCTTCTCTCTTTCCTGGTTTCTTTCAGGTTTATTCACTGTTGAGAGTATTTGTTCCTTACTTTCTTTCCCTTTCTAATTCTGCAGGAACTTAAGATGCTAACCTAGTCATGCCCAGGTGTCACAGACAGTTTTTGTTCAAAGGTGAAAAAACTCCAGCTATTGTCCCTTTTAATATTAGCATTCTCCACTAATTTGCAGATGATCTAGCAGAAATATCTTCTACTTTACCAGTCATAGAATTCCTTCAAACAGTACATTTCCTTGAAAGTCGGGCTAAGGAAATCAAGGTCTGTAGTTAAAAAGCATTATCCTTGCCGTATCTTGAAGGCTGTCCTCCTTAGACTACAAGGATTATGAGAATTGTACCATTCAATCATTTTCGAGAAGGAAAGATTTCTACCCCCAAATTTTTAATGGAATTAATGCCAATTGAATTTACATGGTGAGAAAAGCTGTGCATACAGTCAGAATAAAATGCTCCCAAGAATAATGTGAACTTAGATTATTTTTTGACTTCACAAGGAAGTTTAGAACCATGGTATCTAGAGCAGTGAATAGCTATTGGTTGTTATTCCACAATTTCCTACAGATAAAGATAGAGCTGTAGTGGTTCGGTTGGGGCTTAACTAAGAAATTTTAGCATTAATAAAGACTGCCGTTAGTTTACTCATCTGCCTATTTACTGATACCCGTACAAAACATCTTCTGATAAACACAATGGGATCTAGAGTAGGTTATGGAGGCAGTGGGGGAGTTGAACAATAATGAAAGAACCCTTCCTACATGTATTGTTAAACCATATAATTCAATCTCCACTCTGAAACTGAAGCAGAATCTATGTGTAAAACAGTTGCTTTGTGGTACAGCAAAGTTTGATAGACAAATAGCATAAAAAGAAGCACGTAATGAAAGGCTTTTATTCTGCTTTGAAGTAAACAAAATGTCAGGCACTGCTGCGATTACAGAAGTCTGTGAAACCACATCTTGTGTAATAATTTTTCACTATCCACGACCAGGATAGTGAAGTAAAGAGATTACTTAAAAGAAAACTTAGCAGTAGCCCCAGTCAATAATCACAGGTTTAAATTTCAAAACAGAATCAACAATTAAATGAAGAGATTTTTGTTTATAAACAAGTGCATCTATCTCAAAGTTACACTTTGGGGGATGTAAGTCTTAGATTGGTGCTACTGAAGGTGTCTCTGTCCAAACTGCTTGCTGCTGGTCCACTACGAGATAAAGAGCTTATGCTGCAATATAATCAACATACTGCTCCCTTCATTGAAAACATCTCCCAACCACCCCCCACCCCCCACCGCTTGAAGAAAAAGGAGGAGGAGGAGGAGAAAGAGGAGGAGGAGGAGGAGGAAGAGGAGGAGGAGGGAAATGTCAATTGAATTACAGCGTGTTTAGTAAAGAAATTGGTCTATATTCTGGCGCTGGTTTCTGATTTTACTGCAACAGATAGCAAAGTTTGTGGACTGACAGTAGCTTATACAACACAGTTTGAGGAGCATGTGGTAAAACATCAGGTTTTTGTCAGTTAGAAATTATGTTCAGCTGCTAATAACAGAGAGCCTAATAACAAGTGAATTAGGGGACTCTTCTCCCACAGAAAAGATGTGAGAGAGTTGACTTATTGGTCCATCACAAGCTGAGTCCTACCAGATCTGCCAAATCACAAGGCTGGGTCGGCCCACAGCATCCCATACAATGGAAATGGTACACCTGGGATCAGCTGCTGGTGGAACTGCAAGTAGGCTGTAAAGCAGGTGCCCTCACCTTCCCTCCAGCACCTTTTCCCCCAGCTTGCACCTGCTACTTCATGGGAAGTCCATTATGATCAACTAATGGAGGAGGAAAAAATGGCCAAGCTTGTTTCCACAGACTGACGGGTTCAATAAGTGATTGTACACCAAAAACAGGTGGCCCTGAATGTAAGTGGGGAAGGAAATCCTCCCAATAAATAGGGCTTCAGATTGTCTACCTGGTCATCCACTTTTTGTGGAAAGAGAAGAAGCTTAAGGCAAGAATAAATAGGGCATAAAGAATAAATAACAAAATTGAAGACAACGAGGTCTGGGAAGGGGAGTGGGGACAAGCACTGCATGTTATCCAACATGCAGGTAACAAAATTTGATCCTGCCTATGTTTTTTAGAGGCAGATGAAGGATCTCTTAAAGGGAAAAATTAAAATATTTGTATTAGTTTAAAGAGAGAACACTTATTCAGAGGGATTGGAGGACATAGTGTATGTGAAAAAGTCTTTCACACACATCTTTTTATGAAATTAATTAATAAAGAAGTAGATAGAATGACTTCCAATGAACATCAGCAACTTTGTCCTAGACCACCTATTCTTGGCACAGTGGGCACATGAACAGTATCACCACGGCAGCAGAGTTGGAAGCATGAGCCTGATTGCGTGGGATCCCACCCGCCACAGCTGATTAAATACCACTTCTGCCGAAAGTCCAAACCTTCCAGCAATCGAAACCAATGCTGAGCCTCCAGTATGGCACCAACTCTCCAGACCAGCTTGGTGCCAAGTTGATTACATTCGACTCCTTTCATCCTCAGAAATGCAGCCATTTATCTTGACTGAAATCAACACGTATTCCCAATATGGGTTTGCCTTCCTTGCCTGCATGACCTCAGCCAGCACCATTGCCCAAGTGCTTACAGAATGTGTGACCTACTGACTTGGCATCCCACATCACATTGCAGGGTACAAAGGTACCCACTTAAAAGCGAAAGTAGTTAGCTTGTGGGTGCTTGATCATGGGATTTTCTGTCTAAGTATACAGATTCTTTAACTTTCTACTGCCCACTGGACTAATACACATTGGGATATTAAATAAGACTTGACCCATCATCCCATCTGAATCCTTTGGTTTTCTAAAGGCTTTTCCTGACAATTTGCGCCTCAGCCAGACTGCTTTCCCCAGTGCTCCATTTTAAATTTTATTGTCCCCTTCAGAACATAGTTATGGTATCAATTTTCATTATTTCTCTCTTCTTTCCATATCTTATCTTTTTCTTATGGAATCTTGCCCTTGCAAGACTGGAACTTCTTGGACGCTTCGTCCCAATATAATGCTGCCATCTAAATTGAGTTATAGCAATGTCCTTTTGGTTCTTGTAAAATAAAAAATAAAAAACACATTAAAACAGATAGTACCTTCTAGCAGGCTAGTGGCTACAACATAAGAATCCAGTTGCTATACTGTATCATCTGGGACTTTTTTTCCCCATACCTTATGTCCTTCAGTCCCTCTGAATGAGTGTTCTCTCTTTAAAGTAATAAAATTATTTTTACTTTTCCCTTTAAGAGTTCCTTCCTCTGCTTCTACAAAATACAGGCAGGCTCAAATTTTGTTACCTCTGATTTTTCCATTTCCTCTTTATCTCATGTTTATCTTTATCTCATGTTTTCTATTCAAATATGTGAAAGGCTTAGAATAAATATGTTCCTCCTCAAGATTAATATTTTTAAGCCTGCATTAGATGCAATGTTCCCAGTATGCTAACCACATGAGCCCAAGTCAACCAATTCCTCAAAATTTATAAATTCCCTTATAAAGCAGGTTCACAGTAAATTCCTTTATCAACATCAACTTCTATCTGTTCCCAGAAAAAAAAAAACATTCTACGTCTGGATTTTTCTAGTCCCCATTTCTGTGCCTTTGATTCATATTTCCATTGCCATGTTCTATTTTATTCAGCCAGCTTAAAATATCACAGTGCTTCTTTACCCACAAAACATTGTCTTCTCATTTCTGTAATATGCACTTTTTTTCTTTTAATAAAATCTTGGCCTGCTTAGCTGTATTCCTGGAACATCAAGCCAGAAGTTCTTGTTATTTTTTTCCACTTATTTCTTCCAAAATTCATCACACGTTACTTTACTCTTGAAGCTTACATCATCCTCTTTCATCCCTAGCAAGGAATGACTACAAATATGCCTCTTGGAGTAATTCTTAGTTAGTTGATTGTCCAAACTCCCATAACATAATCCCCAGGCAGCCCCTGACTGATTTATCTTTTCAATCTTTCTGACAATAAAATGTTGCTGAAACAATTTTGTGATGTCTGTGTTTCATGGCTTTGAATAGATTTTCCCGCTCCCATTTTGGTCTTCCTTTTGTTTACTTGGACCTTAGGAAGAACAGGAGAGATCTGAAAGAATACATACTCGCCTCTCCTGTCTCAATAACACATAAACCTTAAATGGTCCTCTTTGCACATCACTGACCCTATTTTCTCCTTTGTTCTCTTTTTTCAATCATTAATTCCTCCTCCCCCAAATTGTTACAGCGGATCTGAAGCCTTCCGTGACTAATGGCCCCATGAGACATCCCTCTGTTTTGCCATCCCCTAGCATCTACATCTAAAATATGGAATCAACCAGGGCATCTGGGTGGCTCAGTCGTTTGAGCAACCAACTTAGGCTCAGGTCCTGATCTCGCGTTTGTGAGTTTGAGCCCCACGTCAGGCTCCGAGCTGACAGCTCAGAGCCTGGAGCCTCCTTCAGATTCTGTGTCTCCCTCTCTCTCTGCCCCTCCCCTGCCTGCTCGCTCTCTCTCTCTCTCTCTCTCTCTCTCTCTCTCTCTCAAAAGTGAAGAAATAATAATAAACATTAAACAAAATAAACATTAAATATGCAATCAACCACTGTGTATTTGTTGTAAACATATTGCTAGATGTGTGTGTATGCATGTGTGTACATGTGTGTGTGCTGATAATTGCCTTGGCTTACCAGCCAAACATCTCTGTCTTCTTTTGTATCATGATTTCTGTCTATGCAAATACTGGAAATGCAACTCTGAATAGACGTTTGAGGTACTGTATTAAATTGGTCATTATTCCATTCATCGAGCATTTAGTGATCATCTATTCAGTGTCACTCACTGTGCTAGCTGCTCAATCAACTGGTCCCAGCTTCCCACAGCTCATAGTCTAGAGAAAAAAAGAAAAACAAGAAAACAGATAGTTACACCGGAGTGCAAAATCTGTAGGAGGATATGAAATTAACAAAGAAACCCTCTAAATCAGTGTAAGAAAAGGGTGGAAGAAGGAGAGAGTGGGAAGAGGAGGACCAGGGGAAGTTAGCTCGACAGAGGAAGGGGGGGGGGGGGGCGGCCAGAGTGCCCCTGGCAGAAGGCAAAGTAAAGCAGAGTGGGGTACTGAGGTCCTTATGGTATGGTTGGAGTGATGTGCATGGTGCCATATGGCTATAGAGACAAGTTCAGGAAGATGGTGGGAGATGAAGCTAAGAAAGCAGTTAAGAGCCAGTTTAGAAGGGACTTTGTATGGCATATTGAAGAGTTTGCCCTTTGTCCCACCCCATTCCTTGTGTGTGGCTATAGTCACTAGGCTTCTGACTAGCACTGGGAAAGAGGTTCCACATTCTGTCTGCTGTCTCATTTTTGCCGCTCAGTACTTGAAACTCCTTTGATTCCTAGCTATACTCTCAATCTCATTATCCACCTCTCCAAATTACCCTAAACGCTACTGCCAGATTAACTATATTGTTGAATTTCATCTCTTACATTTGAAAACCTTCAGTGTTTCATTGCTGCCAAATGCAGCAGAAATCCCTACACATTATGCCCCTCTATGAATCTCCACCACCATTTCCTGTTCCCCCCATGAACACACCTTTTACACATGGGTGCTATGGTTTCCACCTCTGTGCCCTTCCTCGAAATGCCCTTTCTGTTTTTCATCTACTCAAGACTTTCTGGTCTTCTGGCCACATGTCCCGTGTAATTTGTCTTCTTGGAATCAACAATGTGTTTCATTTCTATTATCTTTCAGCCCTTATTGTACTGGGCCCTGTAGTTTTATGTATTTATTTTGTTCATTTGACAAAAAAAAAAAAATTATTCCTGGGTCAGATCTGTGTCTTGGCCACTTTTAAAAATTTTTTAATAGTCCATAACACCATTTCTTGAGCAGAGGTGCTAGGTAAATATTACATTGGAATACATCAAATTGGTGACCATTAGTGAAGCTCTATCAATCTACTCTTCTCCAAAGTAGTTACTTTATCACCTCCACTCCCTTTTTACTATGTTATTTACAAGGAAGGTAGAGGCTGATGTTTTATTTCTATTTTATAGAGAAATATTTGAGTGTCAAGGATTTTAAAAGTTTACTTAAGTGTTTGGGGACCGGAATCTAAGCTTCTGATACCTGTTTCGCGCTTGTTTAGATTATATTAGATCCAGGATTCTTTTCCTGGAAGGAATTAAAAGGGAAGCTTTAAAAAATATATTAAGAGTTATTTTTACTATTATTTATCATCAGTACTGGGAGGAAAGATAATGGGAAAGTTGTTACATCACTAAAAAATAAGTTAAGTGGTTTCTAACTTTATAATTCAGGGAAATGAAGACTTCACTTTAAGAGATAAGATAGTTAATGGGGCACCTGGTTGGCTCAGTCAGTTAAGTGTCCAACTTTGGCTCAGGCCATGATCTTAGGGTTAGTGACTTCAAGCCCTGCTGTGGGCACTGTGCTGACAGCTCAGAGCCTGGAGCCTGCTTCAGATTCTGTGTCTCCCTCTCTCTCTTCCCCTCCCCTGCTCACGCTCTGTCTCTCTCTCACACAAAAATAAATAAACATTAAAAGGTAGATAGTTAAGAGGTGGTTTGGAGTGCTCTGGGTTCATTTGAACTTGCTTTGGGTTAATTGTTGAAAGCCAATTGATTCAAAGCTATTTCAGCACACAGCAAACCCACCAAAAGACCATCTGGAGGAAACTGTCAGCTTCATATCCTGAGGTAATAGGAAACTTGGTTGCAAGCATTTGAGGGCAATTTCAGGGGTGGGATGCGAGCCTACCAAAATAGAGAAGGCCATAAACTGGGTTTAAGAAAAGACCACCCATTCACGGATAAAGCATTAAGCATTGAGCAATACCAGGCATCCAAATTATAAAATACGCACGAAATTAGCATCCAGCTAAGTTGAACAGATGAATCCTTAGTAAAATAGCTGAGATGTAAAGCCTAGGGCAAAACTAAAACTTTGAAAAAATCTTCCAGAATTCATCAGTTTTGACAAATTGACTTTTTGGAAACTGATTTTCAGTGAATTGTCCTGATTCTAGTTTGAATAAATATTTAGCCTTAGTTACTTACCCATTATTCCATCAAAGAAGAACGCAGGTTTGTGTATGGGCATGATAGCTGGTCTGTGACCCAAAACTTTAGTTTGTACCTTAACCCTATCCTACATAGTACTGATTTTTTTTATCTTATGTTCTTCTTTCAAGATTTTAAGGGTTTTTTTTAATGTGTATTTGTTTTTGAGAGAGGGAAAGAAGAGGGGTCAGAAAGAGATGGGTACAGAGGATCAAAAGCGGGCTTCATGCTGACAGTAGAGAGCCTGATGCGGGGCTCGAACTCAAGAACCATGAGATCATGACCTGAGCTGATGTCAGATGCTTAACTGACGGAATCACCCACACACCCCTCAAGATTTGAAGTTCTATGAAAGGTGGGACCATTACACCACATCTTATGACTCTTTACGTTCCTAGTACCTTGCACACTTGTATTTGGTAGCCCGCATGTTAGTCGTCAGATGAGGACAGAGTGTCGACCCAGCTGCCTCACCTTTGAGGGCATGGTTAGGGGAACCCTCAAAAGATGATTCCCTCCTTATTGTGGTTCAGTAGTTTCATCTTCATGTATGAAAGACAATGCTACCATTACAACTAAATTAAGAGTATTCTGGAGCTGAATAAAGTTTTCCTGCCCTATTGTGACCCCATCCAACTTGACTAAAGTCTTTTCCTTTTCTTAAGTGGGAATTGGAAAAGGAACTCATATATCATCCTTCTAAATCCTCACAATTAGTGGGTAACTTTCATTTAATAAACGTTGACTTGCAAGAGCTTTCTGTTATTGATAATGCTTACAATTAGTAAGAACTTGAATTATTTTATCAACTTTTTCTTTCTGTTTCGCAATGACACAAAGCCTAACCAGAAAGCAGAGCTTCTCAACCTATGAAACTGAGCTTCTGAATATTTTTACTATTTTAGGTAAACAATAATGGCCTCACCATTGTTGGTAGCGCCACCCTCCTTCTTGATATTAGGACCCTTAGATGACCTGCCTTTATCCTTGACCCTGCAGGAGGAAGGTTCTCCCTCTGGTGAGAATCTGGTGTCTGAAAATGTTCTTCTATGCTTCAGATGCCCCAAGCTATCCTATAACTACTCCCTGGATGTCTCCTTGATTTCCAGCCCTGGAAGACTGTAGTCTGGTCCAGTCTTGTGCTGTTTTCTAAAACTCATTTATTAGTTTATTAAAGCCTAAATTTATCCTCTTGTGAAATCTGATTAATGTCCATTGTTCTTAGCTATACTTTGTTCATATGCTATCATAGCACCTTCCATATTATGTATTCGCTATACCCACATCTGACTTCCCAACTAGACTGTGAACATATTTTTGCTCTTTGTCCCCAACTGGACAGTTGTCTCTCATACTATACACTTTCACACTAGGAATAGCCATCTTTTCTAGATGTGAAATGACTAGATTCCCAAATACTCTAGAATGTAGTCTAGTCAAATCCTAAAACTACTAGAACATAAGCTCCATGACAGAAAGGAGTTTCCTTGTGTTCATCATTGTATCCCAGTTTATAGAACAGTGTCTGGCAAGAGTCAGTACTAGTCTCAATAAAGTTTGTGACACAAAAGAATACTGTGTTAGTATGCAACAAGATGAAGGGAACAGTGTTATATCAGTCTTTTTGGATATTTGTAAACTATAAAGGCTCCAATATTCTTTTCATACCTTAGAGACAAAACACAGCTTAAGATTTTTATATAATAGTGATTTCTAAATTTTTCATCACTGATATTTTTCATTCATGTGGTTTCATAAGAACACTCTTATTTGAATATTCAAATACTTGTCATTTTTTAAGCTTTACAGGTTCTAGGTTTTTCTGCTTCCAAAATGATGGCCATACCCTCATGGAAACTCAAGCAACTGCTTTTAACTTAGGTATAAAGAGTAGCCCATCAGGATAACTTAAAGAGTCAAGCCACTGCACTCCAGAGGTCTCCTGGGTGCTCTGAGCAGCCCAGATTCTTTCCTGACATGGCACGTCCAAAGACCCTAATCCAGGTGGGGCTCAGGAGCTTTGTAGGAAAGAACTTCAAGTTTGCCAGCAATTGTGGCTCCAGTGTGCTTCCATTACACGGGACTGAGTTTCCCCAAAAGAGAGCAGACTGGAGGAAGAAAGGCAGAGCATTGAAAGAAAAACTGCCCAAGTGGAGACAAAGCCAGGCTGAGTGAGCAGAGTGAGCTTCAAGAAAGCCAGATTCCAGGAACTATGTGCCGTTGCTGGGTCGGTGCCTAGTGTGAGCCCGGGTGGAGGGGAGCAGGGGACCTGCGGGCTACCAGCAAATGGGTAGCAAGGGTGGCAGCAGATTAGTGCTGCTCACTGGAACAAAGGAGTCATGGAACAGCGGATCCAAGAACATATGTGTGAGACCTCCCTGGACTTGGTGAAAGCTCCATGAGGTGAGAAAGGCTGGCACTCCAACTGAACAATGCTCACAACATTGGTTCCCACCCACCACCTCCAGCTAGAGGAAATACAAGTTATATGAGGAAGAAGCATTAAGCTGGGAGGAAAGAAACAAATCTTTAAAAGTTTAGGTCATGTCACCAACTCGGCTGCTAGTAGCTTTTTCAACAAAAATGTATATTCCTATAAAAAGAAACAATAAAGTCTCCATGTCATAACGCTTGTGAAGGAAGGGGGAGGGATGGAGATGGTGTCCCCTAGACTGGAAATAGATGTGTAGTGCCACTCGATCAGTGCCGGGAAGACATGCTCACCCTCAGGACATGATATTTCAGGCTCATTCAGCACAAGTGTGTTAAAGGGAAATACCACGGAACGGAGTGACTCATCAACTCACTACAACCTTGGCAAGAATTGGTGTATCCAAGTTCCAAGACAGCAGAGAATGCAGGGTCCAAAGAGCACGAGGTCCAGAGCAAGGGCCCAAGGAACCTGAAATAACAAACACAACCACTTACTATTGGCTGGGTGCGTTCTATGTTCTCTGCATGTTTTCATTTACACATTTAATCCTCCAAAATACCCGGTGAGGTAGGGACTGTTGTTATACCCTCATTTTACAAACGAGGGACCTGAGGCACAGAAAGGCTGAGTAACTTGCCCAAAGCCACACAGGTATTAAGCAGCACGGTGGAGATTCAAAGCCAGACAGTCTGGCTCCTTATCCTAATGCTCCAGCATCCTTCAGATGATGCTTCTTTAGCACTTACCCTCTGCCAGGTTCCCTTCCAAGTATTTTGCATAGGTTAACACATTCAAGGTTGAAAGTGCAGATAGGGATAGAGGAAAATAAAATTTACTTAGGGCTTCCTCTCTTCTGAGGTAAATTTCTTAAAAAGAAAACAGTTACAATTCATTAATCTCCACTACTGCAGCATGCATTCTGATAAGGAAACTAGTATAAAGAAAACCATGACTACAATGAAGACCCTGATTTTTAAAATCATAGGATTCTAATGAGAACAATAAGTGGACTTGCATCATTAAGTCACAGAAAATTATGGGACAATGAAAGTGAAGTAGAAAGAAAGAGTGTTAAACATACCAACCTGGGGCATATATGCCCCAAAATTAAAATGTTGAGTGAAAAATATCAAGTTGCAGACTAATTCATGAAATGTGATATCATTTATATAAGGTTTTCTAACAGCTTTATTGAGTTAAAACTTAATGTATACATTTTAATAAGTTAGGACATATGCCTACACCTATGAAACTATCACCTCAATCCAAAGTTTTCTGCTGTCTCCTTCCCTTCTCTCCCCTCCCCTTCCCTTCCTTTCCCTCCCCTTCCCTTCTCTTGCCTTCCCTTTCCTTTGTCTCTTTCTTTTCCTATTTTCTTTCTTTCTTTCTTCCTTCTTTCCTTTATTCTTTTTTTCTTTCTTTCTTCTTCCTTCCTTCTTTCCTTTCTTCTTTCTTTCCTTTTTTCTTTCTTTCTTTCTTTCTTTCTTTCTTTCTTTCTTTCTTTCTTT